GGTCAAGCAAAATTTGGATCTGCACTCCAAGGCAGAGCGTACCGTGCGCGTAGGACAACATTCTCTGGTTGTTGTCATTGACTGATAGGATTTAGGCTTTCGACTTAGTTGTATGCGGAGTTTTCGGTCTTGGGGGCCTTCATCTCGAACTTTACTGCGGAGTACTCCGTAGCTACCAACCAGTTACCTAGTCTACTAACAAGTACAACTACGTAGGTTCGTAGAGTCGCAACAGCAAAATAAACTTCGTGTACCTTTGATGCATGTGACGAGTGACAACTTACTCCGACATCTCTCACTAATTCTCCCAGGATGGTTGAGCGAAATAAATAGATTTGCACACCGCTTCCCAGACTGCCGGGTCCAAGGCTGTAGGCTGCAACCGTATTCCGTCACTCCTTGTAAGCGAGCGCTCAGTAACCAAATACCTTACCTACGTAGCTACCTACGCTGATAGGACGTACATGGGTGGTAAATAATGGAGTGCAGATCCTGTCGAATGAAGCTGCCCTGGTCTCTTATTGCTAATGCGTGCCTAAGATATCTAGGTCCTAGGGTGCTTTGCGGACAGTCAAGCGCAGTATCTTACCGTTGCCTTCAGGCAGGAGATCTGCACATTGAGAAGTCAGAGGTTGATGCTACTGAGATAATTCCTTAGTAGCATAGGGTACTACGCTACTACATAACAGTAGACCTCCCTATCCACACTTAATTTAATCTGCCTGTTATCATTCATCAAACTCGACCGAATCACCACTGAACTTAGCAGATATTTAGTGTCCGTCACGCTCTAGATCTCCATTCAGGACTAGGCGCGGAAATAGCTACCGCATGTTCCTTCATTCGTCTCTCGTCCTCTCGGCTCGCCAATCCACAACAATCTAATCCGGTCTCAAACTCCTTCAATCAATCTGTCTCATCTAGTTCGGTTAGTATTTACGCGATTCACGTTTCGAACTGCACGGCGTTTACAGCGAGAATCATCATGCATCTTCTTTTAGGTAGCCTTCAACGAAAGTTCGGTATCCCATCATAGATCGAGAATAAGCGCCTTTGCTCTCGAGCAATGTGCGGAGCCCAAGACGAGTCATGAAAGTCCTAAAGACCTTTGCTGCAGCACAAAGATTACTCATGACTCCTGTGGGGTCGTCAAGTCGCGTTTTCTCCCACATTCGCATCCACATCTTCCATTATCAGAGTCAGATCACCGGACAGATGACCTTAGAAGCGCCACAGGCTGGCGGATATTGAGGACAATCAATTTTTTGAAAGCCTCGACCCCTTTTGCAAATCTGGATCCCCTATCAACTAGTTAGATAGTACACAAGGCGTGTCGCTGTTCCAAGTTTTCGCTCCGTGAAATCACTGGAAGTGACCGCTGCATTGAACGAGGTCCCAGGTTGGTCCAAAAAGGAATTCGGTTGAAAACTGTGTTAAGATCGACGCTCAGCATGGAACGCATCCTCTGACAAAGTTTAAATTCTTCTGGCCAGCTACAGACAAGATAGCCATCTTCACCTCGCAGAAGGAGGATGCTTGCTCGAGCCACAAACGCCACGGCCAATCATCTGGGTGTATCTCGAACTCGGCAACGGGTTGCCTTGCACCGGGACGTTACATGGAAGGATGACACCGCTTCATTAAGAAACTAACTCTTCCTGGGCATCTCCTCGACGGAAAAAATCAGAGGTCGACGCGGCGGTTCTGACCGCCCCGGTCGTCTGTACGTACTGGGAAAGTTGAAACGCTCCATTTGAGGCTGTGCATATGTAGCTAGATGCATTCGGCGACGGGATCTGGACAGACCAGGTGAAGGGGGCCGACTCGATTCGCCTTTCCTCCCATTATGTCTCCACCCAGGTATGACACCCCGATTAAGCTCTCTCAGCGATCGACCAATCCAAAATGGCAAACCTCTCAGCATTCAGTAAGATGAATTGATTGAGCTAAACCAGCAGAGAATATGGACCCAATTGTGGACAGGATACAGACATTTAGCTCATGCACGTCACTTTGAGCCCGCGAATGGGACCGGGCCCAGCGTGTTACACAGCCCAACATGGAAGCCACCAAGGGACGGTGACGCAGAGTCGCACCCCTATTATTCCGTTGCCTGGGTCGATCTTTCGACAATTCTTAAAAGAATAGCGAATCAGTCAGTCTCCTTCTGATTTCACTTTTTTTCCCTTTTGTGCGCTGTCGCAGAACCAAGAAGCTTTTCCAGGAGGCCGCCTAAAGACCGTAGGGTAAGCAAACGATGTCCATCTTGTTTCCAGCAGCAATGATGGCAACCCTAGCCGCAGGAGTGCTGGTTGGAAGAGACCACTACTCTGTAGACATCGCCGAGTTTCAACGACTCCACACTGCACACATGCTTGATGTCACTTGTGGGAAAGGAAAAGAGAAGGAGATGGATCAGTTCTCGTCGGTCCAACGGCTGGCACCGCTTCTTTAAGGAACTGGGGCCCGCTTGAAAAGTCAAAGATCCACGTCTGCAGGGCAGCGCCATGAAGTTTCCTAAAGCTGATATTTTTAGCGCTAACTACGCTGAACTTACACAGTATATAGCCCTATGGGCCATTATTACCATGCAAACCATGCAACAAGGGATCGACTGTGTACTCAGGCTACATTGAGGACGCTTCAAAATGGGTTTGACTCTAAAGTCGAGGCCAGGAAGGTGAAAGAGAGAAGTCAGTTATGAGACTAGGATTTGCCCTTTGTAGGCTTCCGGCCGATTAACAACTTGACGATACCTGGCAGGATTGTCTCGTTTATTGTTACCGAGAGCAATTTCGGGATGGAGACAACATCCTAGCAGTTCTTGGCTTCCCGTCCTGGGGTCCAGCACTGCTAAGCGAAGCCGAAAAACAAAGCTAGGTGAGAGAGAAGAAAATAGATCGAATGGTGATATACTCTTGAATATGCTATTATTGTTGTTCTTGATTGCATTGTCGTTTCCTGAGAATTTGATGCGCTCAGCGAAACGCGAAAATATATGGAGTGGTAAAAATGCACGGGGAAAAGTAGACAAAAACAGAACTATGGAGAAAATCAAATTTTCTACCCGCAGCATCACCACCAGCTCCATATACAAACTTCTGTCAGCCACTACCAGTCAACAGAATCAGCATAGTAGACATCCGACACTGGCTTGTCTGGCCAGAGCATCAGAATATCTGGCACAAATCTAGTATTGTCATCGTCGCCTCGTATATCCGCCGATAAGTAGGACATCCAGCCGTGGGTCTTTGTCGTGGGTCTTTGTTGTACGGCGCCATGCACACCCTCAAGGCCACAGCATCGTCCTCGCTCAATCTGGGCCCAGGGAATTACATCTACTCGATCACCCCTGCGTCGCCTGGCTCGTTGGCGGCTATTTCATCAGATGACTCGTTGCGTGTTTTTGATGCCGCCGGTCTTGGCCGTGTAGCTGTGGTTGCGGCGAAAACGCACGGGGATGGGGGTGTGACGTCGCTGAGGAGGTATGGGTCTGGGCAGGATCAGCAGCTGCTAGTTACCGGTGGTAGGGATGGGAAGGTGAAGCTGTGGGATTTGAGAGGGGGGAAGGGCTCGGCTGTTGTTGAGATGGAGACTGGTGAGTTGGTTTCCCGGTTGGGCTGGACCCGTGCTAACTGTTTTGCTTTCTCATGGATAGCCAGGAATGCGCCTGTGCTGTCGGTAGCTTGCTGTGCGGAGACCAACACTGTCGTTGCTGGTACGGAGCTGGTCTCCTCGCAGGCTGTTGTTGCATTCTGGTTAGTCATGGCTGAATTGATGACATCCGGCGTCTACGCAAGCTGCTAACTGCCAGGTAGGGATATTAGATCGCCGGGGGCAACCCGGCTCCAGTATATCGAGAGCCACAACGACGACGTGACCGAGGTGCGTATGCGTCCTACCCTCACTCTACGCCGCGCTCCGTACTGACTAGAACCAGCTTCAATACCACCCCGTCCGTAACAACATCTTACTATCCGGAAGCACAGACGGACTGGTCAACATCTACGACACCACCATCACGGACGAAGATGACGCCCTCGTGCAGGTCATCAACCACGGCTCCGTCCATCACGCCGGGTTCCTGGGCGAGCGCACCATCTTCGCCCTCAGCCATGACGAGGACTTCTCCGTTCACCCGGCCACAGATCCCGACGAGCAGGCCGAGGAGCCCAAGCCCATCCAATTCGGCGATCTAAGGCAACCTCTCAACTGCGAGTATGTCGCCCAGCTCTGCACCGGCAGCCAGTCAGCGTATATCGCTGCCGGACATAAACTGTACGTCTACATCTACTTGTTCCTCTCTATTGTCGGTGTCATATCTGACAGTGTCTCCCGCAGTGATAAACGCCTAGACCTCGTCCCGCTCATCCCTGATCCGTGGCGGTTCGACCAGGCCAACCTGTGGCGCCTTCCGGGCGCCCACGGCGAGGAGGTCGTCCGTTCAATCTACGTCGACGAGCAGGTATGTTACTTCTATTGATGCTTCTAAATTAGCCCAGTCTCACCATTCTTGCAGAGTCACTCCGTATTCACCGGAGGCGAGGATGGGTTCGTCCGTGCCTGGAAGCCAGTGGAAGAGGATGAGACTCTGGCCGAACATGCCCGGGCCAAGCCTTCACGACCAAAGGAGAAGAAACGTGACAAGGAGCGGTTCAAGCCATATTGATTGTGGCTGGTGTGACTAGTAGATTGTAAATTATATTTCACGAATTCCTTGAGCCCTTGTGTATGTCGTACAATGGCTGGCTTTGAGTCTTATCTTGGTGTTGCCAAAGCAACTAACTTGGTTTTACCACCATCCAAAAGGCTCCTAGGGAATATATATCTGAGTCGACGACCCCAACCAACAATGACCACATCGCGCGGCGCAACCATATTTACTGTATTATAGATACGCTCAGCGAAAGACCTGCTATAATAAATTGTTAGACCTGTAAGAAACCCAACCAAAAAATAAGACAGACGACAGAGAGTTAGGCAGCGAAAGAATAAAAAAGTAGTCGCGCCCGGGATCGAACCGGGAACCTTCTCGGAATCCTTGAAGATGCTCACATCCGACTGTGAACGAGAAATCATAACCATTAGACCACGCGACTGTTTGTTGGAGTACTAGGCAATCGAACATCTCATGTACTGAGACCGACAAAACACTAGATAGGAAACTTCAATCTTGCCCCATCTCCGCATCCAAACTTTTTTTTTTCCTTTTTGGTGATCTCAATCAACCTCTGCGACGGTGTAGTCGGTAGTCTATCCCGACCCTTTCTTCACCTAATTTATTATAGCCTTCCTTCTCACTTCTCATCTTCAAAGGCGGCTATAGCCCTCCCCATCCGTCCTTCCAGGTTATTCCCTGCCTGTTTTCTAAGCGCCGTTACGCAGAAGCCAAACCTCGATGACCGCCAGAGCCGTCCATCTAAACTAACCGCCCTCCAACCGCCTCACCAACTTCATCACACCTCTCCTGACACATATTACCCAAAAAAAGGGTCCAACGGAAATGGACGCCCAAGCCTACCTCATCCGTCACGGCTGGTCCGGACCAGGCAACCCACTGAATCCCGACCGCCCACAAGGCGGCGGCCTTGGTCTCACAAGACCCATTCTCGTCGCGCGGCGCTCAGGCAACCAGGGCGTGGGCAAGAAGACGACCAAGGATCCCACGAATCAGTGGTGGCTGCGTGGGTTTGAGGATGCGCTGAAGGGCGTGGGGCAGGAGAGTGTCGGCGGTGCTGCGGCAGTACCGAAGCCGAATGCCTTGACGAGTGAATTGTATCGGTTTTTTGTGAGGGGAGAAGTCGTTCCTGGTACGATTGACGGGAAGAAGAAGGTGGTGGTTGTGGAAGAAATTACGAAAAAGAGGAAAAGGAAGGAGGAGAGTGAGGCTGAGGATGCTGAAGAGGCAAAGGCGCGGCGGAAGGAGGAGAAGCGGAAGAAGCGGAAGATGAAGGAGTCTTCGTCCAGTGTAGATGAGACGACTCCTGAGGGTCGAGCCGAGAGCAAAGAGGAGCGCCGACGGAGAAAGGAGGAGAAGAAGAGGAGGAAACAAGAGAAGGAGCTGAGGAAGCAGGAGGAGAGCAGTGCCGGGGAGGACGAGAAGGCCGCTCGCAAGGAGAAGAAGAAAAGGGAAAAGAAGAAGACGGAAAAACAGGAAGACGATTATCCTACTCCTTCATCTACAGAATCAGAGCAGACGGAGTCCAGCAGTGGACGGGACGAATCCTCACACACGACGACAAAGCCGAAGAAGAGGAAGGAGAAGGAGGACTTGAAACAGGACAAAAAGATCCGGAAAAAGGGCTCCTCGTCCGAGGACAGCACGAAAAAGAAGTCAAAAAAGTCGAAAAAGTCGACAAACGAGTGATATTGGCCCGTTCTTCATGTACAGATAGATTTTTCGTTCATCAGATCAGATACCCATTTGGCACTGCTACGCCGACTTGATAAAAGTTCATATACCATGTCATTTTTTCACTCATCGTCTCATACCTCGTAAGAATTAAGCCTCAGGCAATTTACCTGGCTTGCCCGAGAGAATCCAAGGCCGCCTCTCCCAGAACTCATCCTTGATAATGTCGACATGATCAACGACCACCTGTGCCTTCCGTCGCAATTTACGCAGTTTGTCTTGCTGTGACTTCGAAGTTTTGCTTTCGTCCACCGGCGCCTCGTCATCATCCCCATGCTTTGATTTGGACTCAGGCTTGGGATCTTCTAATTGATACTGCAACGTCCACGTTAGACGGCAATCATAAAAGGCATTCCTGCTCGCTTACCTGACGATAAACCACACTCCCTTTCTTAAACATCTCATCCTCATTGTTATAATTGATCCCGAACCTCTTGAAGAGGATCTCATTCTTGTCGGATGAGACAGTCCCCTGACACGGCTCGTCAGCTCATGCGAAGTAAATCATAATTCAGAAGCGCACACACCTGTAACTCCCTCTCAGCATCCGTGTTACTCATCCCTCCCTGCTGGACCATCGTCCAAAACGTCGTATTGTAGAGATTATTGATGTGGCCTGGTTCAATCAGTACATGACAACGGAATGCAAACCAACGAGATCAAACGCACAATCAACCTGTCTCCAACTCATATAATCGCGTAAGATCCTAGTGGTCGGGTACAGGACCGCCCGGCCGTCGAACGAGGGCAAGTACGGGGGCTGCAGAGGCGTAGACGGGAAATACGTCCCCCATTGATAGATATAATGTGCTGTAAACGTAGATACAATCGTTGTGACGAGTTTACTATCCCGCAAGATTAGTGTTTGCAGACTCAGAAGGTCAAGGCGAGGACAAAAATGCTTGCCCTGGCTATGGCTGACTCACGCGCTGCGTCGTTCGAATAACTGACAGCTGGGGTGAAAAACAAAGCTGCGCATGGTCAGAGTCATGAATAATGTAACCCTAACTGGTGAGGGACAGACCTATATTCATCGCTCACACCGTAGGCGATGCATAGGTCCGGGAGTTCTTTCATAACCTCCACGGCGGCGGCGTTCATCAAGTCCAGCGCGCGGCGGTCGTTGGGTTTGATGAATCCATAGCGATCGGAAAGTCTATGTCATCTGTTATTCAGGCACATTTGGAGAGATAAGGTAGATTGGGAGGCAAATACTTGTGAAATCCTCTGCCGTCAATGCGAACCACGATCCAGGTATTCGGCAGCAAGACGTCGGGCTGCTCAAACGATTTGACGTACTCGTATCTGGGTACGCATGTCAGCTATTGCTCTACGCTCGAGGAGAATCGAATCTAAATACTTTGAGTTCGCCATATCAGTGAAATGTCTTGCGTGTCCTTCGTTGCGAGGATACCGTAGTCTTGTTCAGTTTCGCTGGCCGGTCAAATGAAATCTCTCTGTTGTGCGGGAAGCGGTGCGGACTACGAGAATTGAGCCATGATTGCTGCCAGATCAGTCTAAGACATTCCAAAACCCATACTACAATTACTGAGAGCATTCTAAGTATTACTTTGACTACTTTGACCATTCTGATGATATATGCGGTGAGATGGTATCTTTCACCCACCAACTATACGATTCTCGTATATGAAAGTGCTATATACCAATGAATGACTTTAGACATAATGATAGTAAGAAATCCTTGGAAAAAGGAGTAGGAAAGACTCGAGGGTCCTCGCCAAGCACATGCAAAGAAAACAATCAAAGAATGAATAGAAATGCATAGGTGCAGCACCAACGTGCAGTTTGTGTAATCCGTTATCGAGAAAAGTGAACCGGCAAAAACAGAGGATCACAAAAGACCGAGCCCAGCTCAAGGTTCGTCTTCCTCGGCGATTTCATCATCGCCAGTCTCGCTGGCCAATTCGCTAGGCCTTTCACTTGTCTCACTGGCAGCTTTGTCGGATTTTTTGGACTTCCGGCTAAAAAATCCCAGACTGCTTCTAGTCGATCTGTCCGCAGACGGAGCGCTGGAGACAGTGCTGTCAATACTTTTGGCAAGTTGCGCCTCGCTGCTCGCATCCTCATCGATGTCACCCTGTGACGAATCGCCTTTCTTCGAAAATAAGCCGGAGCGTTCCTTCCACGAACCGAATTTACTCGAACTGCCCTTGCGAGTGATCTTTCGGATAAACGATTCTTTCGAGTTGCTGTTGTCCGCAGAAGTGGCCGATGGCATGCGCTCCAGCGATTCGTAGGAGTCACCAGTGAAGATGGACAAGGACCGGGAACGCGAATCCCTCGAGACGCGCGGCTCCGATGGAGAGCCCTCCTCCATATGAAAATCAAAAGCCATATCGGATTCTCTCTCCTTTCCTTTCTCTTTATCCTTATCCTTGTCGGATTTTCTGCTGAAGATAGTCTTGAACGTGGGTGCTGCCGGATTCAATTTTGGAGTTACTGGGCGATGGGAGGACGAAGGCCGCGTACCAATCGGGGCTTGCAACGGCCGACCTTGGCGTTCAAAAGACTCTTGAGGAAAATCAGGCTCACCAGTCAACCCAAGGGGCAAGTGACCAGAGGACCCGTACGTAATAGATGGCCGACGGGATTGAGCCCTGGACCAGCTGGACGGAGAGGCCCAATCGAATCCAAGAAGACTGCGATGGCCAGGCTTTTCAGCAGAAGGCCATCCGAAAGGACGATTATCCGTCGAGGGATGAGGAAGCTGATTATCGAAGGAAAATGTGGACGAAGGTCTCGGGGACAGAGAACCTCGTCGGACAGTACCTAGAATCGATGCTGGGTCGATTGGATCATGACGAGGACTGAACTGATTATAACCTGTGCTGAGATCAGAGGGCTCGCTCGACTTCAGCAGACTGCTACTTCCACCGCCGAAACCGAATCGGCTGGGGGAGAAGATACTGGTGAATCCTGCTCGTCGCGACGGCAGGTGGTCAGAAGAGCTGTCAGCGGTGACAGCGGCAGTGTTACTCCTGGGAAGCAACGATATCGGGTTGGCCCAGTTGCCTGTATGACTCAACCTCCGACGCCTTGAACCGATGGGGTCCATTTCGTCCAGATTCCTAGGGAAAGATTGGCTCTGTCCGGCTTTCAGGGTGCCCAGCAAAGGCGGCTCATCTGCCAGTGTTTTACCACGAGGACGATGGAAGCCAAATAATCCCGATAGCCTTCTTGTCGCGCTTTTCGGAGCATCACTAGATTCATCAACATGTGCAGACTGGGGCTCGGTCTCTTTACGATCCTCATGGGGGCTGGCGAAAATGCTAGCTGGCTTGCTTCCCACTGCAGACTCAGGAGACGATGGGCCGCGCGAATAGCTTTCCCGCTGCGATTCGGACAATTCAAGGTTTGAGAAACGAGGTCGAACGATTGGACGCGGGGGTTCTGGAGATTCTTCATCCCCTAGAAGATCAGACGGGAGCAGGGCACCGGCCCGAGGACTCATTTGAGGATTACCGAAGGAAAGATCGAGATCCCCCCGCATCGGATCTTGTTGGTCAGAGAGACCCGGAAGAGTCATGCCATTGTTGATATTGAAGAAGGCAGGAGTGGGAGCAAATGTAGGCGAGTTGGTGGAAGGGGGATTGAAGTTGACACCTCCAGGGAAAGATGGTTCCAAGCCGGGGAAATTCATCGGCGAGGAGACGTTGCTGTTGAGAG